GGGTCAGGGGTCGAAAGTGCCCCCAACGGGGCTTCTCATCTGTCGAGGGGAACAAACAGGTCCAAAATCTTTTTAGGAGCTAACTTCTAAGTTCCGAGCGGTGGCTGTCAATTAACAGAGGTGTCACCAAAGAGCTAGAGTGACTCTATACTTTTTTTGTCGTGGGTCAGGGGTCAAAAGTCCCCCCAAGGGGCTTCTCATCTATCTAATCAATCGAGGGGAACGAGCTGGTCCAAAGTCTTTTAGGAGCTAACTTCTAAGTTCCAAGCGGTGGTTGTCAATTAACAGAGATGTCACCAAAGAGCTATAGTGACTCTCTATATTTTTTTTTGTCATGGGTCAGGGGTCAAAAGTCCCCCAAACGGGGCTTCTCATCTATCTAATCAATCAAGGCGAACAAACAGGTCCAAAGTCTCTCGGGGGCTAACTTCTAAGTTCCAAGCGGTGGTTGTCAATTAACAGAGGTGTCACAAAAGAGCCATAGCGACTCTCTATATTTTTTTGTCATGGGTCAGGGTCAAAGGTCCCCCCAAGGGGCTTCTAATCTGTCTAATCAATCGAGGCGAACAAGCAAGTCCAAAGTCTTTCCGGGAGCTAACTTCTAAGTTCCGAGCGGTGGCTGTCAATTAACAGAGGTGTCACCAAAGAGCTAGAGTGACTCTGTATTTTTTTTGTCGTGGGTCAGGGGTGAAAGGTCCTTGCAAAGGGGCTTCTCATCTATCTAATCAATCGAGGGGAACAAACAGGTCCAAAGTCTTTCCGGGGGCTAACTTCTAAGTTCCGAGAGGTCGTTGTCAATTAACAGAGGTGTCACAAAAGAGCTATAGGGACTCTCTCTATTTTTTTTTTTGTCGGGGGTCAGGGGTCAAAAGTACCCCCAAGGGGCTTCTCATCTATCTAATCAATCAAGGCGAACAAGCTGGTCCAAAGTCTTTCCGGGAGCTAACTTCTAAGTTCCAAGCGGTGGTTGTCAATTAACAGAGATGTCACAAAAGAGCTATAGTGACTCTCTCTATAATTTTTTGTCGTGGGTCAGGGGTCAAAGGTCCTTGCAAGGGGCTTCTCATCTATCTAATCAATCGAGGGGAACGAGCTGGTCCAAAGTCTCTCGGGGGCTAACTTCTAAGTTCCCAGAGGTCGCTGTCAATTAACAGAGGTGTCACAAAAGAGCTATAGGGACTCTCTCTATAATTTTTTGTCATGGGTCAGGGGTCAAAGGTCCTCAAAGGGGGTTTCAAATCTATCTAATCTATCAAGCTGAACAAGCAGGTCCAAAGTCTGTCAGGAGCTAACTTCTAAGTTCCGAGAGGTCGCTGTCAATTAACAGAGTTGTCACAAAAGAGCTATAGTGACTCTCTCTATAATTTTTTGTCGTGGGTCAGGGGTCAAAGGTCCTCAAAGGGGGTTTCTAATCTAATCTATCAAGGTGAACAAGCAGGTCCAAAGTCTTTCCGGGAGCTAACTTCTAAGTTCCCAGAGGTCGTTGTCAATTAACAGAGGTGTCACAAAAGATGTATGGTGACTCTCTATATTTTTTTGTCATGGGTCAGGGGTCAAAAGTACCCCAAACGGGGCTTCTCATCTATCTAATCAATCGAGGTGAACAAGCTGGTCCAAAGTCTTTCCGGGAGCTAACTTCTAAGTTCCCAGAGGTCGTTGTCAATTAACAGAGGTGTCACAAAAGAGCTATAGGGACTCTCTCTATTTTTTTTTGTCAGGGGTCAGGGGTCAAAAGTCCCCCCAAGGGGCTTCTCATCTATCTAATCAATCGAGGCGAACAAACAGGTCCAAAGTCTCTCAGGGAGCTAACTTCTAAGTTCCGAGAGGTCGTTGTTAATTAACAGAGGTGTCACAAAAGAGCTATAGGGACTCTCTCTATAATTTTTTGTCATGGGTCAGGGGTCAAAGGTCCTCAAAGGGGGTTTCTAATCTACCTAATCTATCAAGGTGAACAAGCAGGTCCAAAGTCTTTCCGGGAGCTAACTTCTAAGTTCCCAGAGGTCGCCGTGAATTAACAGCGGTGTCACAAGAGACGAATGGCGACTCTCTCTATTTCCTTGATTAGTGAGGGGGGACTTGAAGGTAGACGGGACAGGGGAGGCCGGGAGGCCGGCCTCTAATGGAATCCTGTCTTCCCGACTCCCCCGCTCTGCCGGCCCCCGCAGTTCCGGCTGACGATGTCCTACCTGGCCAAGATGACTGAGGAGCAGACTCTCGTCATGTACAGCGGCCACCCCCTGGGCCTCTTCCCCAGCAGCCCCAGTGCCCCGCGCCTGGTTGTCACCAACGGCATGGTGGGTCCCCGGTGGCCGGCCCCGGGGGGGGGGACTTCGGGAGGGGGATGGGGGAAGGCCGGCCTCCCCGTCGGGACTCCGAGCGCCCCTCTCCTTCTTACAGGTCGTCCCGAACTACTCCTCCAAGGAGGAGTACGAGAAGCTCTTCGCCTTGGGGGTGACCATGTAAGTCCCCGTTGGGGTCTAGGGACACGGCCTTGTCCCCTTCTACCCCCCGCCCCCACCGATAGCGTTAAAAAGCAACACGGAGGCCGGGCGCGGTGGAGGCTCACGCCTGTCGTCCCAGCTACTCGGGAGGGAGGCTGAGGCGGGAGGATCGCTGGAGGCCAGGAGGTGGAGGCTGCTGTGAGCGAGGCTGACGCCACGGCGCTCACTCCAGCCCGGGCGACAGAGCGAGGTTCTGTCCCTGATAAAAAATTAAAAAGCCTCCTGGAGGGGGTGGCCGGCGGGCGGAGCCGGGCCTCAGTTTCCCCTTTCTGCGGCAGGTACGGCCAGATGACCGCGGGCAGCTACTGCTACATCGGCCCTCAGGGCATCGTGCACGGCACGGTGGTGAGAGAGGGGCCAGCTCGGTGGAGGGGACGGGGGACAGGGGACAGGGGGGACAGGGGGACAGGGGACAGGGGGACAGGGGACAGGGGTGACAGGGGGGACAGAGGGGACAGAGGGGACAGGGGTGACAGGGTGGACAGGGGACAGAGGGGACAGGGAGGGACAGGGGACAGGGAGGGACGGTCCGCCCGAGCCTCCGGCCTCCCGCAGCTGACGGTGCTGAACGCGGCCCGGCGCTACCTGGCCGTGGAGGACCTGGCGGGGAAGGTGTTTGTCACCTCGGGGCTCGGTGGCATGAGCGGGGCGCAGGCCAAGGCGGCCGTCATCGTGGGGTGCGTCGGCGTGATCGCCGAGGTGAGCCGTCCCCAGTTCCCCGCGTCACACCCGGAGCCTCGGTTTCCCCGTCCGTCGCGTCTTGGGGACGGGGACAGGGGGTGTCATTTTCGCCCAAGACCCCCGCATATTCCTTTGGGCGGGGGGGGGTCCCCGAAAATTTCGGTGTCGTCGGTGACGCGGGGGGCCGGAATCTCCGATTTTTCTCGCGCTTGCCTCGTGGGCACAAGACGGCTGCCGCAGCGCCGGCCGTCACATGCACAGTCCGGGCGGGAAAAATCGGGAGCGGAAGCGCGGGCTGTGTCGCTCGGTGGCAGCCGGGTGACCCCCGACCCCGCCGTGTGACCCGGGGCCCCAGGTGGACAAGGCCGCCCTGGACAAGCGCCACAAGCAAGGCTGGCTGATGGAGGTCACCGACAGCTTGGACCGCTGCATCGAGAGACTCAGGTGCCCCGGCGGGCGGGCCCGACCCCCGACCCCCGACCCCCGACCCCTGACCCCCTGGGAGTGGGGGCGGGGCTTCAAGGGGGTGGGGCCTGTTCACAAGCCCCGCCCCTTTCTCCGGGGTCCCAGAGACATGGTCGTTTGCATAGTCATGCGACACACATGCACAACACGTGTGCAACACACGTGTACACGTGTGCACGACACGCACGGGGCAGAGCGTCAGCCTCGCTCACAAGCAGCCTCCAACTCCTGGCCTCCAGCGAGCCTCCCGCCTCGGCCTCCCTCCCGAGTAGCTGGGACTCCAGGCATGCGCCTCCACGCCCGGCTCTTTTTTTTTGTATATTTTTAGTTGTCCAGCTCATTTCTTTCTATTTTTATTCAGTAGAGACGGGGCCTCGCTCTTGCTCAGGCTGGCCTCCACCTCCTGGCCTCGAGCGATCCTCCTCCCTCAGCCTCCCTCCCGAGTAGCTGGGATGACAGGCACGCGCCTCCACGCCCGGCTCGTTTTTTTTCCTATATATTTTTAATTGGCCAATTAATTTCTTTCTATTTTTTTAGCAGAGACGGGGTCTCGCTCTTGCTCAGGCTGGCCTCCAACTCCTGGGCTCAAGCGAGCCTCCCTCCTCGGCCTCCCTCCTGAGTAGCTGGGACTCCAGGCATGCGCCACCACGCCCGGCTCGTTTTTTTCTATATATATATTTTCAGTCGTCCGGCTCATTTCTTTCTATTTTTTTCTAGTAGAGACGGGGTCTGGCTCTTGCTCAGAGGCCGGCCTCCAACTCCCGACCTCGGGCGATCCTCCCTCCTCGGCCTCCTCCCAGAGTGCCGGGATTGATTTCAGGCGTGAGCCTCACGCCCGATCGCTCCCCGGGCGATTTTGGGGACCATCCCCGAGACTCAGAGCACGGGGACCCCCCCGTCCGCGCTTGTGTCCCTCGCGGTGGCCCTGGCTGTCCATCTGTCCCCAAGGCAGGTGGCCGTGGGCGGGCGCAGACGGGCCACCTGCTCTGCCGTCCCTTGTCCCCACCAGGGAAGCGAGGAGCAAGAAGGAGGTGCTGAGCCTCGGCTACCATGGCAACGTGGTGGCACTCTGGTGAGTGGTGGCCTTGGGGTGTCCCCAAGGGATCCCAGGGGGACCCAGAGCTCCGAGGGTCTCGGGGGACGGTGACACGAAACCTCCCCACAGCTCGGTCCCCCCCGCCTGCTCGCCGCGGCCGGCAGATCGTCCCCGTTTTTCCCCCCTGGGTTGAGGCCGGCCTCCACCTCCGGCCTCCCAGTGTCCCGGTGTCCCCGGCCAGGGAGCGGCTGGCCCACATCCTGGCCACCACGGGGGAGCTCCTGGTGGACCTCGGCTCGGACCAGACCTCCTGCCACAACCCCTTCCGCGGAGGCTACTACCCGGTCCAGCTCGGGTTCGAGGAGGCCCAGAGCCTCATGGCCTCCGATCCGGCCTCCTTCCGGAGCCTCGTCCAGGAAAGGTCAGGCCGCCCCAGCGTGGGCGGGGCCGGCCAGGGTGGGGACAGGGGACGTCGGGGTCCCCGAGCCCGGCCTGCCCCGCCGTGTGGCCTCTAGGCAGCAGCTTGCGGTCTCTGGGCCTCGGCCTCCACCCCGGAGGAGGAGGCTGTGACAAAAGTCTCGCTCGCGGGAAGCCCCGGGGGGCTTTGGGGACACGGACGGAGGGGTTACCCGGGGGACGGGGGTGTCCCCAGGCAGGTGGCCCCGGGGTGAGGCCCCCGCCCCCGCGAAGCTGGAGGCCCAGCCGTCGGGGAGGCTGTCACGGCCTCCAGGGGATGGAGGCCCGGCCTCCACTCTGTCCCCCTGTCCCCGCAGTCTGCGCAGGCAGGTGACGGCCATCAACCGGCTCGCCCGCGACGGCTGCTTCTTCTGGGACTACGGCAACGCCTTCCTGCTCGAGGCCCGCAGGGCAGGTGAGGCCCGGACGCGGCGGAGGCTGCGGGCGGCCTCCTCACTCGGCCTCCCCGCCTCAGATTTTTCCATGGTCTTCTCCTTCTTCCTCTTCCTCCTCCTCCTCCCCCCTCTTCTTATTTGACAGAGTCTCACTCTGTCGCCCGGGCTAGTCTCACTCACAGCAGCCTCTAACTCCTGGCCTCGAGCGATCCTCCTTCCTCGGCCTCCCTCCCGAGTAGCTGGGACGACAGGCATGCGCCACCACGCCCGGCTCATGTTATATATATATATATATTTTTTTTTTAATTGGCCAATTAATTTCAATTTTTAGTAGAGGCGAAGTCTCGCTCTTGCTCAGGCTGGCCTCCACCTCCTGACCTCGACCGATCCTCCCACCTCAGCCTCCCAGAGTGCCGGGATGACAGGCGTGAGCCTCCGCGCCCGGCCTCTCTTGCTTTACTTTTAAAAAACCCTCCCGGCAGATTCTTGCCTTAGCCTGTCGGGGGCTAAGTGCCACGGGGGGGGGGGTGGCCGCCGAGGATGTCCCTTCCCGGGGGTTGGTGACCCCAGGCCTGTGCCCGCAGGCGCGGACGTGGGCAAGACCGGCGCCGGGAAGACAGACTTCCGCTACCCGTCCTACGTCCAGGACATCATGGGGTGAGTGACAGGGTCCCCTCCGCCCCCCGTTGGGACCCCCCTGAGCCCCAGCCTCCTCCCTGCCGGGGACTCGGGTCACAAAGGCCTCGGCCTCTATTTACCCGCCTCGGCCTCTATTTACCGGCCTCGGCCTCTAACCACTCGCCAGGCCGGCCGGTCCTCCGTGGACTCGACCTGGCTGGTGGCACCCAACGGGGACGTCACTTGGGGACGCAGATGTCCCCGCCCGCGGCCATGTCCCCAACGGGCCTCCACCGGAGGCCAGAGGCTGTCCCCGGCCGGCCCGAGTCTCGGGGGTTCAGGGCTCTGGCCTCCCCCACATTTTCTGTTTTCTCACCACTTTTTAGGGGACGAATTAATTTCTTTGTTTTTAATTTTGAAAATTAATTTCTGCCTGTTTTTCCCCCGCTCTGGCTCAGGCTGGCCTCGAACTCCTGAGCTTGTTGAGCGATCCTCCCGCCTCGGCCTCCCTCCCGAGTAGCTGGGACGACGGGCGTGAGCCTCTGTGCCCCGCTAAATTTTTCTATATATTTTTAGTTGATCAATTAATTTTCTTTATATTTTGTACTACAGACGGGGTCTCGCTCTTGCTAATCAGGCTGGCCTCCAACTCCTGACCCCGTTGAGCGATCCTCCCGCCTCGGCCTCCTCCCGAGTAGCTGGGACTCCAGGCGTGCGCCTCCACGCCCGGCTCATTTTTTCTATATGTTTTTAGTCGGCCAATTAATTTCTTTATTTTTAGTAGAGACGGGGTCTCGCTCTTGCTCAGGCTGGCCTCCAACTCCTGACCTCAAGCGATCCTCCCGCCTCGGCCTCCCAGACTGCTGGGATGACAGGCATGAGCCTCCGTGCCGGTCTAGAGGACAATTTTTTTTTTCTTTTTTGAGGCAGAGTCTCGCTCTGTCGCCTGGGCTGGAGTGAGCACCGTGGCGTCAGCCTCGCTCACAGCAGCCTCCAACTCCTGGCCTCAAGCGATCCTCCCGCCTCAGCCTCCCTCCCGAGTAGCTGGGACTACAGGCATGCGCCTCCATGCCCGGCTCGTTTTTTTAATGTATATTTTTAGTCGTCCAGCTAATTTCTATTTTTAGTAGAGACGGGGCCTCGCTCTTGCTCAGGCTGGCCTCCAACTCCTGACCTCGAGCGATCCTCCCGCCTCGGCCTCCCAGACTGCTGGGATGACGGGCGTGAGCCTCCACGCCTGGATAATTTTATATATATATATATATATTTTTTTTTTTTTTAGTTGTCAAGCTAATTTATTTCTTATTTTGTTTTTAGTAG